CCTGAAAAAGAAAAGGATGCATCCGAAGAAGTGGGCTGTAGCCCACGAAAGCTTATGCTCAAATAAATTTGTTAGGCTCTAAGGTGCCACAAGTACTCCTGTTCTTTTTTTAAGTTCTAGATACATTCCTCCAAATTAACAAGGCCTTGTCTACACCAAGAGATTTTCCTCAATTACAGCCATCACTGAGTAGCTGCTTTTGTGCAAGCTGCAGCATAGGCAGACAAGGCCACTGTGTGCACGGGAATAATGCCGGTTTATGTATGGCTATAACCAAAGAAAATTTTATTGTAGAAGAGTCTCTAGTCACCAGTTAGTCTGTTCCCTTCCTTCCAGTAAGCCAAGTAAACAAGAAACAGTGAATAGGCATAGCTGAGATTTGGGTGTAAGTGTAATCCATGTGCTAATATATCCCTCTCAACTACACAGAAATGCTTGTTAAAAACAGGATCAGTTTCTCCATGCTTTGTACCTTTCACTTTTACATGTAATGCAACATACCTGTGCTTCACAGGATTAAGCCTGCTGTCTAATGTTAGCTGAACATGACTGACATGCTCTAAACAGGGAGCATGTAACAAAGCTGTATTTCACTTTCAGTTAATTCTATTATGTAATTTTGCATTTTCACCCTGGTTTGGGTATACAATTCAGTGGAATAGTGACAAGAGTGGAATTAGTTCATTTTAAGCAATTAAGATGTATACAAAAAGACTTTTCCAATTTTTAATTTGTTGAAGGTCAGATCATTTACAGGAAAATCCGCTTACCAAGATGAGGTGGCCAGCTGACACTGACATTAAGATGCTGCAGTGTTGTAACAGAAAGAATATGAAGTTTAATGTAAACAGGAACGTTTAAACAACACACCTTGTTTTAAGCACTAACATTATTACTATCAAAGGTAAGCAAACAGAATTTTGACTTCCAGCAGATAACACACGCATTATATTTCAGATACCACTCCTTTACCTACAGTCACATCTGTGTTAAAACAATCATGACTCATTCCAGCAAACATCTCTTCCATAATGGGAGGATCGCTGTTAATTTTTTTCATAACTGAAACAAAGTAGCCTGATTAATCGTGAATGGCTACAGGGTGCGTGTGTACACACACACACACACACACACACACACAGAAAGTTGTCATGAAGATGTTAACAAACCTGTGTTTCCATCTTCTTAACACCTTCCAATATCTTACTTTGTTTAAAGATTCATCATGTTTCTAAAGCATCCATGCTACTTCCTAGCCCCTTCTGGGTAATTCATTCCAGACCACTTCCAGAAAGCAATATTAATTGACTACTATGAGTATTAGTTTACTATCTATTTTGTACAAACACGCTCTGTGCTGCACAATACACACACATTCTCTGCCCCAGAGATTCACAAGCTAAAGGACACAAACAAGGCACCCAGAGACATGCAGAAGTGTAGATAATAAAGGGGTTACTTGCCAGCAGCAATGTCTGTACTCCAAATGTATTTGCCTCCACAGTCCCCTGTAGAAGTCATATGTCCAGCTGCATGGTTATGGAACCTTTTTGAGCAGCATTTGCCTGATAGGAAGCATGAGAAATTCCCTCAAGCTACACATTCCATAGGGAGAGTACATAAATAACCTGCCTCATCAGCTCCTTTATATCTGCCTGACGAGTCATGGAACCAACTTCTTCCCTGCTCCATTCAAATCTGGCTGTAAATAATTTACATTGTTAGCATTAAAGATTACAAGTGTTTATTTTAGCTTTTCAATTGTTTTGTTGTATTTTTGATAGCGTAGTTCTGAGTTTCCTTGAGTTTTGTACAACATGGTTGACTAGTCTTATAAAACAAGAGTCGCAATAGCAAGAACGAGAATTTAAGAAATTTAAGAAATGTTCCTCTTGGACAATAAACTGTATTCTGCCTCAGACCACAATGAGAAATTCCTCTTGCACGTTGTGGAAAGGCACTTAAGTAAAATCTGTAACAACTGCAAGGCCTTCTTTAAAAGGGCTCCAAAGGACTAACCTATTAGCCAAGTCCAGTAAGAGATTCTCTACAAAATGAGTCTCCCAAGCATGACTAGCTATGCCAATGGGGTTATCACCTTGTGACGGTATCCCATGAAAATCATCAAAACAGATTTTAGGGGTTACAGAACCATGCTCCTGGGATGGAGGTACGGAAAGCACCCCAATTGCTCCCTTTGGATCTGTTGGAGGAGATCTGAAGTTCTCTCTGGAGTATTCTCCTCTTGGATAATGAGCCCTCACTGGCATGGAAACTACAGTTCTAAAGTAAGATGGTACCATATATGGAACCAGGTGGGTGCATAGTTCCTGTCAGATCCAAGCTTGGTACCATGGACTTCTCTGAACTGAGAAAAGCAGGTTCCCTGCCACGCCACTGCAATGCCACCTCAAGAGGAAACTAGCTCAGACACCGGAACATCTGACTTGAATAGGACTACTCATAGTACATGAAGTTAAGAACATACAAGTCTCTACAAGATTACAGGCTTAGTAAATATTTTAGTTTGTTTTATGTAATGATAGCTAGAACCCTGAAATAGCATTATAACTGTCTAATACACTAATCAAACTAAGATAACTATTAAAAGAGCCTTGCAAAATTAATCTTGAGCTGAGTTAGTGTGTGGGGTGGGGGAGTTAAATGGGTTAGTAAACTAGTATTTTTATCATCATTGTGGAAGGGCAGATGAGAATATTTGGAACCTGGCAAGTCTTCATGACAATTTACCAAAAGGTGGAATAGAAAATGGTGCATCAGCCATAGCTAAACTTCACCATTTGCATCACAGACACTGTAAATTAAAACTTTACATTTACCATAGTAGAGTAAAACCCATATATATGTTGGAAGAGCCAGAGAAAATATTTATACACAGATTCGACTCCCTATTAGTTAGCTGCCTCAAAGTAGGACTGAGTGGTTTGTTTTTAAAGATATTTATATTGAGGTGTCTGCAAAAAGCAGCATCTGCTGTAACAGCTCATTAGTTAATAGCAAAAGGGACATCAGAGCTGAGCAGTGGGACCAACAAAGTAAAATCAACCGAGCAGAGCAGAGGTTTACACTGATCATAGAATATCAGGGTTGGAAGAGACCTCAGGAGGTCATCTAGTCCAACCCCCTGCTCAAAGCAGGGCCAACACCAATTAAATCATCTCATTGATGACCCACTAATCTACCAATTCATTACCCAAAATCTTTTTTTTTATACTCAAAATAAAATATACACCTCTAAAATTTGCACTTCTGTAAGTTTATTTTTCTGATAACCTACATGGTAGCCATGTTGATCCCAAGATATTAGGGAGACAATGTGGGTGAGGTAGTATCTTTTATTGGACCAACCTCTGTTGGAGAGAGTGACAAGCTTTCAATGCTTACACAGAGCTCTTCTTTGGGTCAACAGTTATAGGCAGTAGATGCACTTTCAGGTTTAATGTATATTGCTCAGTGTTGTATCTTTTTGCACTCACAGGAAGGTACTAGGATTTTTAGAAGTTTATTTGGTTGTCATCTAAATAGTAACTTATCAGGATTACTACTTATTAGGTCAGAGGTGGGCAAACTACGGCCGGATGTGGCCCGCGGGACTGTCCTGCCCAGCCCCCGAGCTCCTTGCCCGGGAGGCTAGCCCCCCGGCCCCTCCCCTGCTGTCCCTCTCCCCCGCAGACTCAGCTTGCTCGCTCCGCCACTGGCGCAATGCTCTGGGCAGCGGGGCTGTGAGCTCCTGGGGCAGCACAGCTGCAGAGCCCAGCCTGACCCGGTCTCTGTGCTGCGTGGTGGCGGCAGTGGCATGGCCCGGCTCCAGCTGGGTGACGCAGCTATAGCGCCGCAAGCCACCGATGCTCCAGGCAGCACGGTAAGGGGCCAGGGAGCGGGGTGGGGTGGGGTGGTAGGATAGAGGCCAAGGGGAGTTTGGGGTGGTGGTCAGGGGGTGTGGGTGTGGATAGGGGTCAGAGTGGTCGGGGGAGGAACAGGGGGTTGAATGGGGGCAGGGGTCTGGGAGGGGCAGTCAGGAAGGAGGGAGGTTGGATTGGGTGGCAGGGGTTCTGGGGACAGTTAGGGGACAGGGAGAAGGGGTGGTTGAATGGGGGCAAGGGTCCTGGGGGGGGAGGCAGCATCAGGAATGAGAGGAGGGGTTGGATGGGGCAGCAGGGATCCGGGGGCGGTCAGGGGACAAGGAGCGGGGGTGAGTGGATGGGGCAGGGGTCCTAGAGGAGCCATCAGGGAACGGGGGGGTTGGATGGGGCAGGGGTCCTGGGGGAGGCAGATAGGAGGTGGGGGCCAGGCCACAATCCCCTCCCCTAACCGGCCCTCCATACAATTTATGAAACCCGATGCGGCCCTCAGGCCAAAAAGTTTGCCTGCCCCTGCATTAGGTCATCGTATGAAGAAAAATAGCTGGGCATGTAACAAACAAGAGATAAAAAACACCAGGTCATTTTGCTGAACTTTGGCACCAAAAGAATACAGAAACAAATATCTCCCTGACAGTTTTCTGATCTACAGAGATTTTGAAGTCATTTTCTCAGAATGAATAGCACCTAAGTCCCAGATATTTACTGCTCAGAATGACAACTTTCTGGGAATGGCATTCACAATTCTTATTTTAAACATGATGTAAAAACCTAGATTTAAAACTCTGAGGTAGTACAAGCATTTGCTGTTAAGACCAGACAAGTGATCTAATAAATGTGTGTTAAATCAGCGGGAAAATGTGCAAATATGAAAGGTCATTTAACATACTGAATAATGGACTTATTTTCATAATAAGTGTTCTTTGGTAAAAAGCTCAGACATCTGCATCACCACAAATACCTGATTCTGCCTGGGTCTCACAGACTCAAGACTCTTAACTGTCTAGCTACCAAGCTATTGGCTTCAGTGCCAATAGCACACTGAAGTAGCAGTAGCTACCACAACCTCTCATTAAGCTTCTTCACATTTACTAAGGGCAAGTCTACACTACAGCCAGGATCGAGGCTCTAGTGAAGACCCACCAAATCGACAGCAGATCGCTCTCCAGTTGACCCCTGTACTCTACCCCTGATGAGAAGAGTAAGGTAAGTCGACGGGAGAAACTCCCCCCACAGTGTAGACCCCGTGGTAACTCGACCTAAGGTACGTCAACTCCAGCTATGTTATTCACGTAGCTGGAGTTGCATAGCCTAAAATTCAAGCTCCTTTAGGAATAGGCTTTGCTTGTACAATTCAAATATTCAGTTCAGAGTTGAACATGTAAAAATTACATTTTTAACTGATACTGTCACCCTAAAAAATAACCAATTATTATAAATATATTTGTTGTCATATTCTACTGAACCACTGGGGGTACTGCACATCACAAAAAAAAAAAAGAAGACCATCCTCTAAACAAAATTAATATTTAATTTCATTGGTTGAATGCTAGTTTACAAGTTGGTCAAGCTAAAAATACAGAGAGATACACCTGTTGATTCACTCACTTTCTAACAGAAGTTTATTAAAGTAGATACAGTAGGAATTGTAGAAATATTCCTACTGCCCAAGGAAGAACAATGGAGGTACAGGTGCTCCTAAGCTGATAAAGATACCAGCTGTGATACTGTTTATAGAAGACAAATTAAGATTCTATACTTATCACCACAACAGCAGAATTCTCTCTACAAAGTTTACTTTCAAAATTCTGTGCATTACCATAACATAGTCGCTTGAACTAAAAGTTACCTCTCACTTGAGAAATTCTGAAAGAATAAGGTTCTTTGGGTTCACTATACAGTCTAATCTTTCAACTAATGGAATAAGATTAAAGTCTGCAGTCAGAATTAGATCTGAAGACACCACAAACATAATATTCCAGAACAGGACAAAATGCTAACTGCACTATTTCCTGGGATTGTGGCAGGTTAATCTGAATGTTTTCTTGTTTTTAATTTTTGAAGATAAGTTTTCAGTTTTCTAACCACTCAATTCAAAATTCAGAACTATTCCTTGACTTCCTACCCCAAACAAATAAGTCCACACTTGAGGAGGACAGATGGCCATGAACATGTCACTTGAGATAACTTTACACAGAAACTACAAGGTGGTTATCAGATTAGGATGTGACCTACAACCATACACTGTAGCACACGATGATACTGTGGTCCAGATTTGTACCAAAGCTGGAGAAGGGAGGATAACCCTAAACATTTTTCCTCTTTAATGGTGGCGAGAGGCTTGTAACAGCAAAATAATTATTACTGGGGCTTTTTTCTTAAATTGCATTTCGAAGAGTTCACCTAGCAGTTAGGGCATATACTGAAAGAACGTGAAGACTGTACCATGCCCTTACTAAACATTTGTTAGCAACCTATGTAAAACAGGCTCTCCACAAACATATCAAGATGCCATCAGACACCTTTCATTTCTTTGAAAGATGGGAACAAACAACTTTCATTGTTGAATTTTCAATACTGCATAGCACATAAGAGGAGAAAATAAACAGGTGATCAGAATTTATAGGATGACCTCATTGAGACTGATAGGCATGAACTCACCATTCAATTACCATTACTCTAAGGATAACCCCCCACCTAAAACAAAAGAAATGTGAACCCACCAAGGAGCTTTTGCTGAGTATTGTTTTGGGTAGGTGGTACATGTATGGGAAGGCAAAACAGACAAACTAGAGAAAGGGAGTGAAAGACAGCTGGAAAGAGCAGTTGAAAGAATGCAGCTGACCCTAGAAGAAACCTGGGGAGAAGTTTTTGGGCTCAGGTACAGGCTGCTTGGGGCTGTGAGTTAAAAAAAAAGAAAAAGTGGTTTCTGCTTCTTGATTCTTTATACATTCTTTGTAAATAAAGAAGAGTACATTAAAGAAATACCTGACTATCACCAATTTCTACACCCAATTAGAACCACCTATTAGACTCCAGAGTTTTTTTAAGCTAGCCACTAAGGCCAAACAAGGTAACAATATGAAGAAGCCATTTCAATTTGTTTCATTTTGAACGTGGAGGTGGCAAATCTATCCAAGATTTATGCAGTTGTGAGAACTTTATACAGCAAAAGCTGCTAAGGGAATTGATTTACTATAACAGCACAGCTTTAGAGCAGTACAAACTTTTAGTTTTTTAAACTAGTTAAAGCAAGCAAAGGGTCACATATCCAGCTTTCATTCCACAGAAAATTCCCACTGTGGACATGAATAGCCGCTTCCTCCTCCTAGGGCTCACCGTGTAGATTTCCAGGACTCAGGTGGGGCAGGAAATGAATCCAGGGCATCAAACAGGCATACCGTTTTGATCAAGCCCGTCTCGAGCTCTCCAGGCGCACCCACGGTTTAAAAGGCATATGTCAGTGCCTGGTCATGCGCCTCTGGCAGGTGCACAAGCGGGGTTACGTCTCACATCTGGCTGCCCTGTCAGATCCGCCTGCCTCCGGGGCTCCCGTCCCACACCCGTAGGAGCGGACATCTAGGACAGGTGCTTGCGGGAGGGGCCCGAGCCAGCGCTTGCCCCGCCAAGGGAGCCCGCCAGGCAGGCAGGGGAGCGTCGCTTCAGCCCCTGGGGCGGCTGCCGGCAGGGCGCTCAGGGCACCGGGACAGGTCGGCCCGGCAGGCCCCAGGGATAGGAGCCGGGGCGGGGGCAAGGCCCGGGGCGCCCCAGCCCCACACCCCGGCCCCGGCGACACCGCTCCTCAGGGGCTGCGCGGGGAGCCGGCCTGGGCCAGAACCGCGGAGGGGATCCGGGCTCCGACGGGCCGAACCCGCCGCCGGGGGGTGCCTGGGAGGGAACCGGCCCGGCCCGGGTCGGGAAGGCGGGAGCCGGACCGGGACCCGACCCAGGCGCCGCAGCAAGCCGGGGACCGGACCCCTGAGGGGAAACCAGGCGGCTCCGAACCGGGCCAAGCGGCCCCAGCGCCCGCAACGACCCACCTGTGCCGGGCGGCGACCGGGACCAGCACCGCGCACCTGTCGCTGCTGAGGAGACGGCGGCGGCACCTACAGCAGCGGAGGTAGCTTTGGCCACGCCCCCTCCTGGCGCTAGCCTCCCCAACCAGAAGCCTTAGCCACGCCCCGTCTCCCTGGCCGGGTCCTCCTGCGCGCATGCGTCCACCTCGCCTGCGCTCTCCCTAAGTGCGCATGCGCATTTTTTCCCCTCGCCCCTCTGTGGCAAAGCTTCTGTGCACATGCGCAGTAATCTCTCCCTGTTCTGTTTCTCTCCCCTTGTAGAGGATTGAGTGTCCCCGAGCTGCGTGCTGCCTGACGCACGAGGCCAGACACAGAGCTTTCATAGAGGGTCACCAGGGTTAACAGGAGGGTTTCTGGATTCATGGATTGTGCCCTTAGCCTAGCTCTGCTCACGATAGCCCCAATCCTAGTGCCAAGTGGCCCTGGAATGATCGATGGTTTTGCACCAAAATGCGGAAAGTCAGCAGCACTAGGAGGCAGAGGAGGCCCTGCCTGCACTAGGGAATTTTTGTACCAATATAACTGCCCTCGTGCAAATCCCTCATATAAACAACTGGATTTGGGGAAATTGATACAAAGTTCCCAGTTCTGCCACAGATTCCCTGTGTGATCTTGGGCCAAGGTGGGTGAGGAAATACTTTTTATTGGACCAACTTCTGTTGGTGAGCGAGATAAACTTTTGAGCTACACAGCTCTTTTCCAGTCACACAAGCTCTGCCTCCATTTCCTCACCTGTAAAATGGAGATAATTATATTTCTTTGTCTGTCTTGCCTATTTAGATTGTAAACTCTTCTGCACAGAAACTCTGTGTGTGGGGGCAGCATCTAGCACCATGCAGTTAAGAGTGGGGCTCCACATGCTACCATAAAACAAATAAATAATAATAGTAATACTATAAGCCATAAGGAATGCTGCTCTAATGCCTGATAGTAGTAACCATGAATAAAGATGATCTCCCACCTTTTATTTATTGGTTCATTACTTTGAGGAGGTAGCATTCAGAGTGGAAAAAATAACTGCACATCAGAGAAGACTGAGGCTGAGTGATTGTTTAGCCAGCTGGATGCTTTTAATTTTCTGCTTGTAAGTAGATAGTTCTCCAGCAGCCAAACAAGATAATCTGCATTCCTCTCCCTATACTAAATACTGAGATGTTGGCAGTTTTGTGTATCTTCATTAGCATGGTATGTGTGTGCTCTCTCTTCAGCCAGCAGAGTGGCTCCTCAAGATGTTTATCTATATAAAAATCTTGGCATAGGTTTCGCTGCCTTTTTGCTCTAGTTCTTCATTCTCTGTCGGTTATAAATGGAAAGGCCCAAATCAATAATAAAAATAAAGTTTAGTCTGCCCTGTTCCAAATCTCCCCAACACAGGCATCCTGCCTGGGAGTCTAAGGTGGCCTTCCTCGTGCAGAAATTCTGAGTCCATTGCTGGCTGTCCCAGGTCTATGTGACAATGTGATTCCATCACTCTGTGCTTGTGGCCCTGCTCCAGAACTATCATTCAGCATAGGAGGATTTACAGCTATTAAAACTTGCATCACTTGTCTTCACTGCTTCATGTCTGCATGATCTCCTTAGCAAGGCACACCACCACTTTCTCAGGGCAACAGGCTGCTGCCAAAATGACCCCCCGTGTCTCATGCCCTGTGTCTGCCTCCTGGTTCCAAAATGAGAATTACATTAATGCCAACAGTTAGAACAGGTCATTATTCTGAGTTGTATCTATGCCTTACCACTGGCTGGAAAAGAGGCCATGGACAGAAGTCTAGAGCATGCCAAGCTGGGAGTGGTTCGTCTTTCTGGATTGGTGAGCTAAGGGCACTTCCACAGAGAGGCCCACGAAGGACAGACAAGTTCTCCCACAATACAATGCAAAATAATGTATAGAGTGACACAGCTTAGTGCATGCTTAGAAGCAGAGAACATGATTGCAGATGTCTGAATGCCTCATATAAGTGTATGCAGCACCAGTGTGGATGCAACAACTCCAGTGTGCTTTGCAGAGGGGTTGCTCACATCAGGACCAGGCTAACCCAGGTGCTGGTCACCTGGGTTAACTCTGCAGACTGCAGTGGAGACATACCCAAAGAGAAGAAACCAAGGGCTAAATGTAGACAGGGAGAGGAAAGTCCCTTCTCCTACCTAGATGTGGTCCTGCCAGGGTGGGGCTGAGGACCATGGGCAGTGCAGGGGTAGGAGAGGAGCTTGTCTTGCTGTGCTCCATGCATGCCTGTCCTGCAGATAAAGAGACAAATTTGTCTCCAGGGCTGTTTAGTTGGCATCTTTCACTAGCATTATAATCTCACACATTGATTCTCTAATCCTCATCTACACACACATTTTAACTGGTTTAGATAAATTGATCCAAACCCATGTGGATGCTCTTATTTCATCCTAAGAACAGGTTCTTTCAGTTTAGCTTAAACCTGTTCCTAACCAACTTAAACTAAATTGATATAAGCCTGCTTAAACCAAAATAAGAGCATTCTCAGAGCCTTTTGCATCAGTTTAATCAAATGGGCTTAAAATCACATATTTGGTTGAACTGGTGCAACTCTGAGTGTGGAAAAGTCATCAGACTCCTTTGAAAATCCCACCTCAAATTATTATTATTTCTGTAGCACCAGTGGGACCTAGATGAGGCAAACGTTTCCTGTGCCAACCCAACTGAAGCTTTCAAGGATCCTTATATTTATTTCACAAACACGAGACAATTCCCCCACACAAAAATATTTGTTAACTTAGACTTAAGGTTGTTGAAGAAATGAATGTAACTCAGACACAATACAGACCATTACACACCCGAATCACTAAGAAGACAGGAAATTACTAGCTAGTTTCCATTAATTACAGTAATATCAGTATTGAAATATGCACCTTACATAGTCCAATAACAACCTGAACCCTGAACAGAAGATAGACACATCACCAAATACACACACACACAGACGGGTGATCTATATGTTGAAAGCATTTGTAAGAATGTCTTGATGGAGGAAGGTCGCGGCTGTTACCGGCATCTGTAAGGTAAACTTGCTCAAGTCAATCTTATTAATTACATGTATGAAATGTAAAGGAAATAGCATGTTTATGTAAGTTACCTTAGTTGGTCATTTCCTGTCTTTCTAATGTATACATTCTTCAATGGTAATGCTGTAGTTATGTATTTTAATTAAAGGTTACATTAATAATAATATTATATTAATTACTTCAACAAATAACTCCAATATAAGAACATTTTTTCCCATGGGGATTGCATTTATCTGTGCATCCATCTTCTATTATTATTATTATTAATAATAATAATAATGATTAATCATGTATATTATGGTAATGTTTAAGGGCCAACCTAGAGTGGGGCCACTTGTGCTAGGTGCTCTATGAACACACAGTAACAGGTGGTTGCTGCCCTGAAGAGTTTACAGTCCAAATAGACAAGACAGATACAGGATCAGGGAAGGGGTAGAACACCCCTGCAGAGTGAACAATGTGATGTCAGCAAATGGCATATAAATTCCATCACTGTTTTGGGGCAGGGGAGTTTATTCAGGAGGGGATCAGCTAAATGGGAAGAAAAGGGAAGAGGTGAGGGGGACAGGGCAGGGGAGAAAAGGATAATAGGGTCAGGTCTAGAGTAAAGCTGAAGTGAAGAGACTGAAGGTGTAGGGGAGCTGAAGCACAGCACAGAGAAAGTCCAATTCAAACTGTGGAAACTTCTCCACATGTCCCCAGGACCAAAGATCCCCCTGCTTTGGCTGCTTCTGTCCCTACTGGTTGGAGTCTCTGGCGGGCTCCTCTCTGCTGTCTTCTCCAAAGCCCACATGGAGGGAGGGGCGGTACCATCTGGGTCCCAGTGCCCCCAGAATTGTTGGGTTTCCCCTGCACAGTTGTGGATCCAGTGGGATGCTGGGAGGAGGGGTGGCTCCCACTGGATCCCATTTTACCCCCTCCCCTGAGCGCAGTAGTCCATGATTCTCCTTAAATATAAAAATGTAAAAGTTATTATTTTTAAGCATTGTAATTAAAATAATTCTATTTTATTTAAGGATTCCTCTGCAGTGTTGGGAATCCAAACAGAAGGTACTTGAGATAGTGCACAAGAACCAGAAAGTGAAATTGGCAAGTTTAGTTTCACTGCTCAAATAGTAAAAGATAAACATACTTTTTAGCACATAACTTATTTGCATTACAGTAGCATTCAGAGGCCACAATCAGAATTAGGACTCCAGGCCATTATATAAACATATAGTAAAAGTCAGTCCCAGTTCCAAAGAATTTACAGTCTAAAGCCCCAATCCTGATGATAGTACAACATGTGTAGACTTCTCCATCCATGTGGAGCCCTACTGACTTCAAAAGAGCTCCATGAGGGCCCAGAGATCTGTCCAGAGCTGCTTGCAGGATCAGAACCTAAACTGATGTGACAAGGGACATGGCACACAACAAGGAGGGGGTGAGGGGGTGCAAGGAGGCAGCCATAACAAAACACAAGGTTGCCTAGATGAGATATATTTATAATTTGCACTGCATGCTTCAATGTAATTTAATTTAAAGTGTCTGTGATGTTAATTTGTTTTCATAAATGATTTTAATGAATCTCTAACAGGCCATCTGTTTATGACATCATCATAAATGGTGAAAACTCAGTGAGATGTTAACCATTCTTTCTGGATTAACAATCTCAGGCTTGGTCTACACTACCCCCCTAATTCGAACTAAGGTACGCAACTTCA